CCACTCAATGCTGTGGTGGCTTGGCTTTTTGGAGCTGGATAATGCCATACTTGGTTAAGTTATCAAAAATCCAAGCTAATTGCCTCATTATCAAGCCTCATTGATGGAACTGAGCAGTTTTCTGTGAATGAGGACACAGCGTAATGCAGAATTTGTGTGAGTTACTCTTGCATTTTCCAGCAATTGTTGAATGAAAACTAGGTGGGAGTAGGGGATAAAGGGATTGGTGAACTTGTTCCAATAATTTGTATGGAGTAAATCATATTGCTATACTGACAGTTTCAGAAGGGTACAGCACATGAAGTCGATATCTTTGTGTCAGAACAGTGTGTCACACCTTTGACACTTCAAAATTATGCTTCACAAAATATGAGAAAACCCAGTTGCTGAAATAAGCATTTTTCTTATTTTCTTATGATCTTTGTGGTATACCCTTTGACATGTAACATCTAGGATGTTTCTGCAAACTTCCCTAAGTCTGAAATCTGAAAAAAAACACAATGTGATTGCTCATGAGATCACTGTATGGGTTGTTACAGAAAGTGGAGTAAGAACATGGGGTCAAGCCCATACAATAGTCTGAGTTGTTTGCATGTGGAGGGACTGGCTGCATTTCTCGTGTGTAGCACAGAGGTCAGCTGTCTATAAGTGACAAGGTCAAAACCTGACCTTTCTATTTCACAGGAAATTCTGGATTTAGGGAGAGAGTAGAAGAGGGGAGGGAATTGTTCCACACTGAAACACAAAGGGCACAACTGAGACTTTCCCATAGAAGAGAAAAAATAGTACTTTAAAAATAGTCAATAGCGTTTCAAACAGAAAATAGCCCTGGAAGCTCGAGTTCAAGGATCCCAATTTTTGGCAGATCTGTGAGAAAACTACAGGGCAGAAACTTTCCTGCATTGTCTGTCTTAAACCTTTGGCACTAGATAGTGTGTTTCCAAGCCTCCTAGACCCATAGCAAGATTGCCATGGGAAGTAGGCTTCTGGCTTCATCACAGAAGGCAGCAGATCACCTGGAAGATCTGAGAAACACAAAGGTTCTCTGGTGGGTTGTTTCATAAATGTGGAAGTAATGTCACTTTACATTAGTTATCATTTGGCACATGACAAATACTGTTTCATCGGAAAATTCTTCACTGATACTGTGTTACTTAGCATATCTAGTGTGCTATAAAATCAGTTCAGGATAATTTGGGTATTCAGGGGTGGGTCAGATCTTTTCTTTTCTATAATAGAAAACTGTGTCTCGTCTCCTACAAATGGCATATATGTAGGTCTTGCTTCAGCTACAACCATTATTGTGTAATAGCCAGCAGTGGTAATTCTACCACTCTGTTGTCGTGTAATTTGGAGTATGTCCATGGATCCTGTGTATTGGTCTTTTTGGTAGGAAGTGCGTTTAAGAGTATGTTTTTGGGGATTTTGAGAGAACCCCCTCAAGGAAGGTTCTGATCCTGATTTCCATTTTGTCTATATAGAGCTCTGAGCTTTATAACAAGTCTATAGAAAATGCCAAATTCTCAAAAAATAGTTTTGCTCACAACTTTCGTTTTTTTTATCTATTAATTAATTTATTTATTTTCTAAATTGGTCTGTCTAGACTCAGGTAGGTTTTGGGGTGCATTTAAGCGTTTGTTTCAAACCATCTGATTGAAATGGCTTTTAGTAACATCCTTCATGATTTTGTAACCAGTTATAGGCATGGTCGTCTTAACTGATTGCATCCAAGATTTTTCATTTTATGTTTATAATTCTTTTGCTTTGTTTTTGAATGCCTCTTACACAGTTTATCAGTACTTGTATCAATTCACTCTACAGCTATTCCTCAGTGCAAATAATACCATCAGAGTATGCAAGATCTTACTTGTATTGTATACTTCCATCTTACAAGATGGAAAAGGGATGTGTCAAAACCATTATACAAATACAACTATTTTATCACACTGTTAGGAATCATTTCATTGAGGATATTATAGACAGAGAAGGGTTTTTCAGACTTTACAGAATTTTCTGCTCTTGCAGAAATGTGAGTTTGGTGAGACAGGCTACATTCAGAGATAAAAATCCTATTATCTATTGAATATGACACAAAACAATATCTTTCTGTTCTGGATTTTTAACAGAAAATGAACTTTGAAGTAGTAATCAAATTAAGCATAAATTAATACATACTCATATAATATATAGCATTCAAGTGTTTATCAAGGCAACAATATAAACACCATGTGACTTTTGTGATCAATCATAGCCAGGCAACACACAGAGGAAATGATGAGTGCCAAGTATTCAGAAGATTAGATGAAGCACATTTTTAGAATAAATTAGAATAATGAATATGTTAAAGGGGATCATGATCTGCTCACCAATATTCCATAGGAAGGAAAAGAGGTTAAATTTATCTGCTAAGTTATTCATTGCAAATTATTCGCTTAATTCTAATTATGTTTTTTATTACTTATCTGATCTTGTAAGAGAACAGCAAAAAGACAAAGAATTATACAAAGAAGTTAAGTAAAAAGAATACCATTGCTACATATTTGATTCACATATGTGTCCATCACCTGAAGGCCAGGACATGATTCTTGTGCCCTCCTTACAAAAGGAGGTCACCAACTCCCTCTAAGCAAATGTTTTTGTTATGACCAGCTGTGAAAAATAATCTCAATGTGTAGGGTCATATTTGACAGTTGTATTCCAAGCTTTCCTTAATCAAGGTGTTTTTTCGCTTCATCCTTCTCAGAGAAAAGAACCAGCACAGAGTTAACTAATGGAGGTAGGACACCTGAAAGAGAGTTGTGCTTCAGCTGTCAGACAGATACATATATATATTGTGTCTTGCCTGTTTTATTGTATCCTGCTTGTGAAAACAACTTAATACACTTTACTCAAACACATCCAGCATGTTAAGCGTATTTGGGCTTCCTGCTCTCAGAAAGTTTCTTTTTCATTCTCACATCCTCCTCTGTCCACCATGCATGGGAATAAACCTCTGTTTTGGTCTCATTCTAAGTCCTATTCAAACAATTATGTTATTCTTACCCCTCTTCTGCCTCTCCCACTCCCTGATGGATCTTCCACTTCCTGAATTTTCCCCACTGTGCACATCTTCCTTCTCCTCAACCACCCACTCCCAGTTGCATCTGGTTGTCTATGCATATTTATACCACGCTGCCCAATGGATCAGACATACACAGCTTCAAAGATCCAAGAAATTCAGCCAGATGGCATTTGGCAGGTTAAAAATCACCATGGCACATCACAGCTCCTGAGCCCCAGAAAGTGTATGACTTTACTGGGACAGAAATGTACACCCCTGTCAGCACACACATTTCCCATCATGGTGAATGGGGCACAGGGCCAATCCAGTAAGGTTTGCTGTGTAAGACCTCTACAGCAAACTTTAGACAAACTCTCTCAAAACTCGATGATTAACTGTATTGGGCAGGGACTTGTGGAAATTACTCTCCAAAAAAGAAGGTGTCTATCCTGCCCTGGACAGCATCTGACTCCAGACAGCCTAATGACTGCTGCCTCTTTCAGCGTATGGCCTGAGCAGTCTTTACAAGCTTTATTGTCATTATACTGGTGTCAAACGAGTCCATGGTAAGCCACGAAGCTTGCAGTGCATTAAGACTGTAGTGCTCTGTCCAACCATGGTAATGTATTGCATGTCACACAGGCTAACTCACTCAGACTGAGAGATGTTGGAGATATTGAAAGGGTACTAGTGGGCAGGAAGCTTATTTCTGTGTTCTAGCACAGTCTAGGGGTTTGTGGTTTTTAGCCACTTAAGTGGCCTTGAGAAATGTATAAACTGCAACTTTTTCCAAGATCATGCTTCTCCAGAGTAAACAGGTCCAAAATTGCTGTTCTCTAGTTTAATTATGTTTATTAAGTCCCAGTTCATTTCCTGTTTTCCTGTACAAATGCCACCCCAAAGCATTATTTGGTTATACAGTAGTCTGTTTAATGATTCCTCTCCAGTTTTACATTCAAAATAACAAATATTTGTGTGTAGGCAATACTTGAGGCTCTGTTTATTAATCTGACATGAGAGCATATACAATACTACATGTTCACAAACGTGTATTCAACATACATATATTTTAAATTAATTCATTTCATTTCACTTTCTGGAAATCGTGCTTGCATAATACTCTATTATAATATTCTTTTGAGAATTTTTCTATGCAGTAGTTAATGTGTTTGCATTGGCATTTCAAAAAGGCTTTTTTATTGCAAAGCCCTCCACTAATACTGTGCTCATGCTTTTTATTATCCTTCCAGCTTTGTCTTCAGCTGAATATACTCTTTTTTTTTTTTTTTTTTCCTCTCTTCACATGATTATTTGCATGAAGATTTGCATTTAAATGGTTGTGGAACGTGCATTAACAACACCTACACTAACAAAGCAAAAGCTGCTCAGTATTTGTTACTGCCAGACATGAATTAAAAATTCAATTAATGGTCCATATAAAAGTTTTCAGGTATCTGCATTGATTCGATTGTATTTAACACAGGCTGGGCATAGAACATTATGTATATGTCAGTAGACTGATGCAAAAAAAAAGAATAAAGTCTAAAATTTAAGAGTTACTATTGACATATACTTTCTGTACAGATGGTCTGAAATCTTAGAATCTCAAACGAGATGAGAATTTGCTCTGCAATTATTCTCAGTTTAGACCTTCATTTGTTTTTGTAATAAAAGCTGGTGTAATGATGTGGGTTAAAAACCCAAGTCCCTAAACCAATAGTAATGTGTATTTTTTGTTGTGCAGACCATAGACATTTTGCAAGTGACTGGAATATATGAAAGAGAGACAGTGTGATTATGAACAGAACTGTTGTGACTTGCATATAAAGTACAAATGTAAGATGTTCTTTTACCGCTATAGATGAGAAAAGAAAAACAAAACAAAAACAAAAACAAAAACAAAAACAAACAAACAAACAAACAAACTTGGCCAAAGCATTCTTTTGCAGAATAATGCTTCCTGTTTATTGTTAATTATCTTGTACTTACAAAAGCCTGCTTAAATACATATTATTTATAAAGTAACACATGATTTAACACAAATAATTTACACAGAATATGGAATTAATTTCCAATTAACTTTTAGCTCTGGTGGCTTGTGAAGTTGCTTTAGATTAAAAGTTTTTCTTTTCTGAGTCCTTGAAGGGTACCAGGCACTATAATTACAAACATTCATTTACATTTTTTTTTTTTTTAATATTTAATACATTTTAAAAATATCGTTAATCTGAAAATTTGGTGAGAAACGGAGAAGAAGAAATTGTAGCTTAGCAGTCAAGAAACATTATTTAGCTTATGCATTTCTGTCTGCAGAAGAAAAGTAGAACTGAAAAATTTACCAAGGTTCTGAATATAATAAGGCAGTGACACCTCTGAGTCCTAAAATACAATTAATGTTTATTGCCTGAAACAATTTGCCATGTACTGTATGTGCTAAAGGGAAATCCATAAACATCAGAGGTAAATCACTAACAAGACTTTCTTGTTCATACAAATGAAAAAAAAATCTATATTTCCCCACTGATTGAGGCAGAATAGGTCTAAATAAAGGAAATTCATTGCTTCCAATGAGATTTGCAGTGCATCAGTGAATGAATCTGATTTCACATATCATAGTTAGTGTCTTGCATGTCTGTGCTTTAACTAGAGCAATAAATACAGCAGAATCTAAAAGCAGCTGTACAAGGCCAGTAATTGGCTTGCAGATTATATGAGAAATAATGATTTTTGAATGAAACAAACTAAGTGGAATCAAAGGATTTACAAACATTCTCTTCAGGGTTTAGTCATGTTAAATCTTCCCCAGCAATCTTCCTCCCAGCCTCTCATCCTTTTAAGATCATTTCTAAGAGGGAAAGACAACCAATAGCAACAGAAGTGCTTGCGTGTGGCACCTTCACCCAAGCAGCAGAACAGACCAGGGTCCATCTGTCCAGTCAAGACAGTGATTTGGTTCAGACGCTAATCTCATTTACACTCACAGCACTCCCATGGCTCAGAGGACATGCACAGAAGGCAGGGTCAGACCTGTAAGAAAGGCCCTGTGCATTTGCAGAATGAGCACTGAAGAGTTGCTAATACAAGGCAGATGTGCTGTACTGGTGCAACACGGAATCTGATCTGGCAACCCTATTTGATTAGGTAAATAAAGCACTACCCCCACACTCTTTTGTGCCAGTTTCCTTTATCTCTCTCAAAGTGTAAAGAGCAGTTGTTTTACACAAACCTAGATTTACTGAAATAAATATTTTACATTGGAGAAGGATCTGCCTCCAATGTCTTTGTTGATATATTCATGCCAGTTTAGTCACCCTAATGAAAATTTCTTTAAGTACACAGAATGCCCAGGTCTTCTGCACTCTTCTGTCTTCAGATCTGTCATCACGTCAGTAGACTAATTTAGACTGAGAGGAGTTCTGTGTAATATTCTTAATATGCACTCACAGTGTGCAGTGTAATTGCTCCTTTGGAGATGATAATGACTTTTTATTGCCTAAAAAACAATTTGCCGTACTGTGTGGTAATATAATCATTGGTTTATGTTGTGAATACATGTCATTTTTATGTTGTGGGCCAAATTCTCCTGTTTGTACCCATATGCAATGAAAGTAAAGACAATGAAATAAAGGGAGTGAACCTGGTGTCACCAAGATCCAGTCTGGGCCCATACATCTTATTTGCTTCTCTGATGTATGAAAAATGTTGCTCTTATAGCAAATATAGAAAAGTTGAGCAGAGCCTGGAAGGAAATGTCTGAGGCAGAATTAGGTGATTGGAAAATCCCACAGAGACAGCAAACGGATTTACAGAGGAAGATATGAGACTGGGAACTTTGGTTGCAAAACTCTACAAATCCAGCATCTTTCAGGTTGAAGCCATGCTCCCAAGCTGAAATGCTGCTGTACCACATGAGATGTGTTTCCTTAAAAAAAGCTTGGCAAGTTCAGGGGGCAGCGTGAAGCTGTTGTCCATTATCTCAGGCTTTTCCAGAAGTAACATTTCCCTGTTCTCATTAACTCTGTTTTCCTAAATCTGGTGGATGTGTTCAGATTTTGAAACAACTTCCTGAGGCTAAAAGTTACTAAAGTGTTGTTGTGGTTTAACCAAGCCGGCAGCTAAACATACCAAAAAGATGTGAGACAGTTGTTCAAAGCTTCACAAACAGAGAAGAGTTCGGAAACAATGTGTGCCTTATTCCCACATGAATGCAGTGGTCTCTGTGCTACATCTACTGGTTGAGCCTCATCTATCTGCCTCTTCTGTGGGGTTGGTTAGAGCTTGTTTAGAACATGTCTAATGGGGACAAGGCCTGAGAAAGGGAACACATCTGAACTTGGGAACAAGTAGGAGCTGAACACCTGGAGGACTGCTCCTCAAAGCTTAGATGGCTTCAGGATGCCAGTATGGGACTGTGTGCCAGTGACATTCAGATGCTGGATTTGGTGCCCAACAGAGTCTGGCATGATTAAACCTTCCTTGAGTATCTATTTGTTAAATAAATAGGGAATGAGATGACAATATGTTAGAGGAAAATAAGAACCATGCAGAACTATGAAGAAGAATGTATTAGCTGCCATCTAAAGTCTGACGGTCGGACATCTGAGGCAGATGATGAATCAACAGCAAACTACTTCCAGCTTGAACTCAGCAGACTAAACAATGGTTTTGTCTTCTGATCCATTTATACTTAAGAATGAAGTAGGACAGTGAGTTCTGGCAGTGAGATGTGATACTTGAAGAGAACTGGGAGTATTCAGACCTTCTCAACCTTACCTATAAGACAAGACAGTACTTTGAGAAGCCCATTATTATTTTTTTTTTCTTTCTTTATACTAGACAAAGTAAAAGGTCACAATGGGAAAACTAATAAGCAATGGATTTTTTATTTTATTTATTCAGAAATGTATGTTGCCTTTGATTGTCATTATCTTTGTCCATCATAATATAACATTTTGCCATTGCGAGACTGCTGCATCACAAAGTCCAACAAAGAAACTGAAAGAATAAGCAGCTCTAGGAAACTTAAAATAAATAAACAGCAGTAGGTTGCCCTAGGCACATGCTTTTACTAATTTTGGTTTGTTGTTGTTCATGTCAGTTAGGTTCAATAAACCAGGTTTCTGGTAAGGCTTTTCTTTCTTGTGTGACTCTTCAAGAACCAGCTGACAGTTTCCTGTGTTGTCATTAGATTTTTAGTTCCATATGGGTGTGTAGGGTCCAACTTGTCTAATTCTTTTAGATTTCTTACAGCTAGTCTCAAAAGATGCTTGGAAGAAGGCCAGCACCAGAACCCTCAACATGTAGGTGTTACTTCTGTGTTTTGCCTCACAAAATGTTCAGAGGGAAGTTGAAAATGCTGCCTGTTTCACCAGTTTGCAAAAATATGGTAATTATAGATAGCTAAAGTGTGACAAAATATCAGACGAAAGAGAGAGAGGGAGAGAGAACACTATGTTAGCATTCCTATGGGGTCTTTCTTTGTGGTTAAGAAAATATTTCAGGGTATTTAACAAGTGAGGCTGCTCCAATTTCTTGGAAGCAAGATGATTTCAAACTTCTATGAATTCCTATTCCAGCCACTTCCTTCTTCCTGAATCACTATGAGTGAAATCCTGGCCAGAGTAAAGTCAGTGGGATTTTTTCAGACCTTTCAGTGGGACGAGTAAGGGATGGTGGTCTCTAAGAGAGAGCAACTGGACAGACAGGACCTGTACAGATGAGATATGACCATGTGTTTCACCCACAATGCATGCTATTATCTTTATTTGTCTGGACAAAGACAAATATACTAGTTTTTAATTTATTTTCTCAATCTAAAATGATATTTACTTTTATCTGTAAAGTGCTGAAGAGTAGTTTTACAAAACTTTGGGAGTGGGTAACAGCATATGAAATACAGTGTCTATAAACGCTAAGTAAAGCACATGCAGAAAAAAATAAAGTAAAAAAAAAAAAAAAAAAAAAAAAAAACTTAATTATACATGCACAACTATAGGTTGTTAAGAGGGTTTATCATCATTTTGAGTAGTTCTGAAAACAGTCAGTTCAATGGCAGTTAAGAAAGGCAAGCATAAATGTAAGTTTTATCAGGAAATGTTATGAAAATAAAATGTATAAATCCATGCTATAGGCTATTCTTGAACACTACAGAAAGTACCTTTTCCATCTCAGAAAGGATGGAATCAAACTGGTATAATACTTATGAGAAAACAAACAGCCAAAAAATAATTTTCAGAATTTATAAATAATTTCTTTCCAAAGAGACAATGCAATAAAAAAATTCAGCTTAGAAAAGAGATGAAAGAAGAGCAAAGGGGAAAAGAATGGCCCATGAAGTCATCAGTGGATCAAGGAGAGAGGCAGGGAATATTTGTTCAGTGTCTCACAGTACAGGAATGAGCACTAAATGAATTTATCAAGCAGTATGTTTAACAATTTTTTCACACAGCGAATGGTTAGTGGGTGGAATTCTCTGGCACAGAATACTGGCGGATTGAAAACAAGAATCATTTTAGACAAGGTCATAGCAGATATATTCATTGATGACAGCTGCATACAATGTTTCTGCTGAGGAAGTCTGTTGTTGGGCACATATACCAGGAAAAATGTTATCACTCTTACAAATGAGTAAAAATTAGTTAGCTAGGCATGATCAGTGCAGAAAATGAAAATAAATAAATAAATAAATAAATCTCAAGGATCCTCGCACAAGACTCTACAGGGAAATGCAACTGAAACACAATGTGAAGTATAGTAAGTAGAAAGAAACCATCCAGCAAACTTGCAAAAGCATCCCACAACGATTTTTAAGTATTGACATGGGCTGCCCAGGAAAGTGGTGGTGTCCCCTTAGCTGAAGGTGTTTATCACATCCATGTGGATGTGGCACTGAGAGACATGGTTTGGTGGTGGGATTTAATAGGCCAGGTTGACAATTGGATTTGATGATCTTGAAGGTCTTCTTTGATTCTGTAATTCTAACCAAAAAAAAATGTTATACCAAGAAAAATGTACACACTATCATGCATACTGTTAAAAATAAGTAACAATAATAAATTCTGCAGCATAAATAATGAGAGGAAAAAACAGCAGATGTTAGGTTGTCTTAGGAAGAGTACAAAAAGAAACACTGATAGTGGTGTAATGTTATTTTAATACACAGAATGCTTTGGTTAAAATTTCAGTTCTGGACAACCTATCTCAGATGATAAAATACCATCTATCAAGAGAAAAATAAAAAGGTGTAGGAAAGGGCAATGAAAATTATTACGACACAGAAAATGCTTATTGTGCAGGTATTTAATATGAATTGTTTATCTTTGGAAGTAAAGGATAAGGGAGGACAAAATGGAGTCACGCCACAGAAGTAATGCAAAAAGCCATCTGGCAATTCTACTTTTCCATAAATAAATAAATAAATAAATAAACAAATAAAATAATCAGATATACAACAGATGATTAGTTCTAACTTCAGATTAATTGCTAAGAGTTATTTTTCCTTCTAGGATTGCTTAACCCACCTGATTTAAAACCACCATATGGTCAGACAGAAGAAGGAAAAGGATAAAAAATTATGTACTGAGCAATTCAGGAGAGTATTATCAAACTAACATATGCTTTCTTTTTCTATCATGTGTCCTCTTTCCAGTATTGCAGTCATGTCAGCAGAAACAACTCTGTTAAAGATCTGAAGACAGAGTATTCAAAGGAACAGCCTCTGTTAAGATGTTTTCCCCCATTTCTTTGCTTTGTAGAGAATGAAATCTTGAATGACAACACAAGCCAACTTCACAGCTTTGAAGCTGCCTTTCCAAAAGATTCCAGCCTTCCAGGAAAGCTAAGGAGAAGGAAAAAGAGAAACAGTTCTTAAATTAGAAATTTATTGCTAATACACTTGACATTTTCTTGGTTTAGAGGCTTCAGTTTTCTCAACTTCAAGTCTTGTATAACTAAATTTTTATACTGTAGTTCCCCCATCCACTATGACAAAGGTGTTTCATTATTCAACTAAGTTTTCCTATAGAAGAATTTCTCCTTCCCTATGTTAAAAAAAAATTGATTTTAAAGAAAACCTCTGAAAGTATCAAAACAGTTTTTCTTAGAAATAAATAGCTTCATTTTTTCTCTCTCAGACAAAAACAAAACAAAAAAAGAATCAGCTGATGTTCTGATTTTGGCTTGGAAACAACCCACTACTTGATAACATTTTACTTTGGCTGCTTCCTTTTTGTACGTTATCTTACATAATCTAATCTTTAGAAATGTAGCTTTTGGTGTTGTTAATAATAACAGATGATTAATTTCAGCAGATCCTCATTTGTAACACTATTCATTTCAGATCCTCATTAACCTGTCAGATAAGAGCTTTGGATTCACCATTGTAAGAATCAAAGCAGGTTCTAATAAGCTCTAATTAAGGTGAATGAGGTGTCACATACTATCTTTCATGTGTTTGTATGTTAGAGGATTGATAGCTTTCCGCACAGATTCAGTTGCATATACATAATGTTTTTGGATTTGGTTGTACTTTAGTTTTGTTTACAGAAATGGAAAGAATAATGGTATAGCCAGAGAAGGACAAATTCATTATGAAACAAAATGCCGTGCACACCATTAAGCTGAGAGGCTGTCACTGGGGAGGGACAAGTATTTGGAGCAGTTCTTTTGTAAACATACACACTTCATTTTTGTGTATATCAGCAATGTAGTGTATTCAGCTTTAGAGGGGACTTCAGATTTAAAGTCGTTAAGAGGTCATTGGCATATAAAAGGATGCATAGAGAACTGAACTTAATGTACATCAACATGACATAGTCAGATTAAAAACTCCTAATGACAGCCATCTGGTTTTGATCAGCACTGAAACATTTTTAAGGCTCTGTCAGAGAGCTCACTGATTAGCTTAAGAGAAACTTGATTGGGTCCACCAAAGTGGGCCATTTTATGTTCCAGGGCTAGTTACAGAAAAAGCTATCTATAAAGTGAAATTGTGAAGCTCAAGCACCATTTCTGTTCACAAGGATTACCAGCACGCTGTAAATACCTCTTCTGAAATACCATATGTCTGACAAAATAGAAAAATGAGGATGGCCTATGGCTATTAAGATCATTCATGTCTGTCAGTTCATTACCAAGGATTCAACTGGTTAGTTCACTGGAGGGGGTTACATGGGAAAAGAGGGGGAAAATAGAGTTTCACAACAAATTAATGGTGTGTAATTGGTAAATTAATTACAGATAAGAATTTCTGAAAAAGTGCAATTCATGGCAATAATATAATCATGTCCATGAATCACAGTTTTTCAGGGTGTAGCTGGAATTTGCTGCCTACCTTTCTGTCATGTTCCCTTTCCCCATTCCTTAGATTTGATATTGCCTTCCTCAACTTTATCACTAACTGCTGACAGGCTGGCTTGGCATAAGTATTCAAAAAGCTGGGTTTGTGGGCATTAGGCCCATGCTAGAAGCCCTCCAGTGCTTCTAGTTCACTGAAATCCAAATATTTGTTTTAACCATGCTAAACTTATGTTGCTACCAACATTTTTCAAGCTGTGTAATTATTAGTGAGTTTATTGGTTTTCAGGTGTCAACAGATAGCCACAAAAACAACAAAAAGTGGGCTATGTGATGAGGGATGAATGATGGTTACTAACTTAGAAAAGGGGCAAAGACAGTTTAGTAACTACCTACAACATGTTAACAAGTATCAGAGTAAATGCTAGAAAATTCCACTGCTGTTTAAATTAAGCTGTTAACCATAGGCTTATGGTTAACCAACGTGCACATGTGCTGGTTCTCTGCATAACCTAATACTTGAGCAACAGCAAGGGTAAATCTTTTCTAGATGTTCAAGTGCTATTCTGGATTACCTCAAAAGATTTTCTTCCTGTCTTGCTAAGAAGGAGAAGCAAAGGGAGAGAAAAAGATCAGAAAAGCACTGGGGAGGATGGGGAAAGAGATGTAGATGTGATTAAGATTGAAAACATTTGTTGCTGAAAGTACCTGTCTGCAGATATTCATTGTTCCATAATTCTCACCTTTCTGCTTTACAATTATATATGGATGGTCTCTGCACAAGAGTGATTTTTGCCCCCCTTTTGCAGTTGGAGTAAAATATGTTCATCTGTTTCTCATTTTTTTCTTCCTGAGTGAAAACACTACACTATTCTTTTTAATAAGAAAAGAGAAAAGTTGTTGCAACTGGATTTTTTCTCCTTAGCATAACTCAGAAATGACAAAACTTTGATATATGAAACTCAGCGTGTAACTAGTCCCCACTGAACAGTACATATTTCGCTAGGTTGTATAAGAGTTGATTGTGAAATAATGGAGTCGTGAACACTTTAAAGCAAGCCCCAGAGTAACAAACGCAGTAGAAAATTCCACCAATGTTAAAATTGAGTTGTTAACCATAGATATACATGTGTACACAAAACTGGTTCTCTGCATAACCTCATACTTGAGAAACAGCAAGGATAAATCTTTTCTAGATGTTCGAGTACTATTCTGGATTACCTCAAAAGTTTTTCTTCCTGTCTTGCTGTAGATCTACACCTTAATGCATTATTGACCATCACTGTATGAAATTAAGATTTTTTTCACCATGGAAGATACAGTGAGCTGCTCTGGAGAGAGTGGTTAGTCAATGCTAGTGCTTCCAGACACATGAAGCTTGTCTGAGCTGGCTGAGAAGTTCAAACGATTGGGGTTTTCTGTATTTGGTTTACTGGAGTCAAACCGCAAGCACATAAGAATGTGAAAAAGAAAAATCATCGCTGTATAAATAAAATAATTATTTTATTTTTTGTTAATGATTTTAGCAGAATTATGTTGCTGAAAGCTATTTTTTATTTTCTATAGGCTTGACCTCGTTTCCTTTGAACTCATCCAGAACAGGATTGAGGTCCAAATCAATATGATTAAAATAGTGACAAGATGGTAAATGTTTCATGAGGTGAATAAACTGTGATTTCCTTCTAATGATTTATCTTAATATGAAGGAAAAGGCAGTGGAAAAATTAGTTCATTTTGAAAAATGAGGGAGTCTATTTTCCTGGCACAAAACTTATTTTGCCCACTCATGTGCAGCTGAGCTACTTCAGACTGCAAGCCATCCAACATTTTATAAGCTAATCAAGTTTAGGCCTGTTTTTTAACAAGATGGACAATTTCCAAAGAAAACTCAGGTGCTGTAGGACATAATGTTGATGAAATGGTAGGTGGCACATTTCTTTATAGTACACCATATGCTCTTGTCAGTCAGTTTAAATTTATGCTTAAGTTTAAGCATGTTTCCCATGAAGTGAAGAGATTTATTCACATGCTTAAATTTAAATGCTGAAGTGATTTTCTGGATTGCTATTTGAATCCTTGGGAAGATGTGCACTGCAGGAGAAGTCCACTAGGAGAGGATGAAAAAGGAGTCTCCAACTGTATACAGTAATCATTTGTGTTCCCATAACATGCTTTTTAAAGGTAGGATAAGTAGCAACCCTTGAGTAGCCACCTTGTTATTTGGAAATTATTACATTAATTAGTTATTGTAATGATGGTGTGGATTTTTCATGCCAGAAAAAGGTAATGTAAGTGTCAAGTCTATAACATTGTCATACAGGAAGAAAATGTTTCCATGAATATGTTCAGAGTTAAATTCAAGTGATGATTTCCTCTCTGGGTTTTTACAATCTTCTTCCTGAACATTGCACTATAGCTTGGTCAGGCCTCTGAAAATTCTTGCATTTTCATTTGGACAAACAGGTTTTTATTTTATTTTATTTTATTTTATTTTATTTTATTTTATTTTATTTTATTTTATTTATTTATTTTATTTTATTTTATTATTTTATTTTATTTTATTTTATTTTATTTTATTTTATTTATTTATTTTATTTTATTTTATTTTATTTTGTTCTATTTTGTTTTATTTTGTTTTATTTTATTTTATTTTATTTTATTTTATTTTATTTTATTTTATTTTATATTTTATTTTACTTTATTTTACTTTATTTTATTTTACTTTATTTTATTTTACTTTATTATTTTACTTTATTTTCACTTCCTGGTGTAGTTCTAGATGAGGATAAATAACAAATGCTGCACTTGATTTCATGGGACCATAAAACTCTGGACACATGCTGAAGGTACATGTATCTGTGGAGTAAGCAGTTATTTGTATTACAGTTTACAGAACAACTTTCCATATTTCATGATGGAAAGTGTGAAAAGTACCACAGTGCAATGCATATGTAAGTTATTACTGACATATCAACCAATCTAAATTTCTATTGCTTTACTAGGAATAATAAATTGCAGAAAATAGGTGTACTGATTTTTCCAAATAAAGATTTTTTTATTATTCTGGCACAATGTCTGAATCTAAGAGGTGGGATTTTTTTTGTTTCCCTTTCCTACCCTTGTTCTGTGTGCTTTTGATTATAATGCAATTTTGCTTGGCAACAGACACAGCTTAAAATTGTATTCCAAGCATATCATTTTGAGTTAGAAGTAGAAAACCCAGGAGTGCACTTTTCAGAGCATCTGTTTTTGTTGTTGCTTAAGATGTGTGCGCAACTGAAGAACATCTAGCATATGAAAGGATAAGTTTGAAAAAAATTAAGCTTTAATTACAAATGATGCCAGAAAAGTGACAATGTGGAGAATTTGCAAAAGAAAACTAATGTCTATTTAACACGGTAGCAAAACATAGCTTGTAACAACAAGTAACGTTCATTGATTGTCTGTGTTTGATATGCTGGAGCATACAGAATGCTGTTTGAACAGAGACAACACAGAAACATGAAGCATTTTGACTTTGGCTTTAATAGGGTTGTCTTGATT